AAAATATGACTAAAAATTTTGAAAAAAACAATAGTTTTTTTAACTTTCTGCTATAACAAAAATCTAATTTCTTCATAAATTTAGTCCAAAATGTATTCTGCTACATATTTTGGGTAAAATAAAATCCCAATCAGTGTATATTGGTTAGTTTTGTGTGAAAGTTATAACATCTACAAACTATGTTACATATATAGGAATTTGTATTTATTTATTTTTTTATACTAGTAATGGCGGTGATCAGTGACATATAATGGAATGGGAAATCTGACACTAACTGATTCTAACTGGGAGGTACACTAACTGATTAACTGACACTGACATCACCAGTGACACTAATACAGTGATCAGTGATAACACTTTACACTGTCACTGTATTAATGACACTGGCTGGGAAGGGGTTAACATCTCAGGGTAATCAAGGGGTTAAGTGTGTGCCTAACAAGTGTTAGGGCCAGTTCACACCACATGCAGTCCAGTGTGGTTTTTTTTTTTTTGCATAAAAAACATGGATAGTAGTTTATATGGTTTCCAATGGCATAGTTCACCCCAGTGCAGGCAGTTCCAGTGCGTTCACATTCCAGAAATAAAATGTAGAACATGCAACATTTTACTGCACTGAACTGTACTAGAATGCAGTAAAACGCATAGAAAATGCACTGGAATGCACTTAAACATAACAAAAATGCATAAGAATGTCCTTTTTAAGTTGAAAAAAAGAAGGGAAAAAATGAACCAGAATGCATAAAAAAAGTGTCAAAAACGTGCAAGCAGATATGCATCTGGACTGCATTTCTATGGTGTGAATCAGCCCTTAATGTGTGTAATATTTGCTGCTTTTTACCAAATATTGGTTTGTTCCTTGCAGGGAGAAGAAACATACAGATTGTCCCCTCTGTACAGAGCCCTGTGTGTTTGTCAACACAGGGCTCTGGGCTTTGATTGGACACAGCTGATCAGCAGGTCCCAACCATGAATACTGTAATTGGCTGAAACCTGTTGACAAATTCTGCTGTGTCCATTTGCAGCAAGAGTCAGCTGGGAGCGGAGAGATGGCACGCCCTGAACCCAGATGAAGGTGTCGATGTACAGGTACATGATTGTGCCTCTACGAGCCGCCCGCAGGTACTGCCGGTGGTTGGCAAGTGGTTAATATCAAGCAGAAGAGTTCCCAAAGAGCTTTTTTTTTTTTAAATCTTAGGGTAGGTAATGGACAGCAGGAAGTCCTAATTCTGGCTAAACTTGTTAATGATTTGGACCTCCCCACTGAAAATACTGCTGTTCTTAATCATCGAGCCAAGTATTAACTTATTGTTAAGGGGTTGAATGGAGCATGTTTATTTTTGTGCACGTAGCTTAGTTAGTGACGAGAATCTAAACTGGCAGCTGTGAGGACAGCCCTAAATATGGAGACATGAAGCACAAGCAGCTGTTTAAAAGTAAAAAAAAAAAAAAAAAATTTATATATATACATACATACATACATACACACACACATATACAGTGAAGGAAATATGTATTTGATCCCCTGCTGATTTTGCATGTTTGCCCACTCACAAAGAAATGATCAGTCTAAAAATCGAATGGTAGGTGTATTGTAATACTGAGAGACAGAATAGCAACACAAAATTCAAAAGAAATGCTATCCTATATCCTATTCAAAGAAAAGACATCCTTGTACAGCTCTTTGGTCTTTGCCATGGTGGAGAGTTTGGAATCTGATTGTTTGATTGCTCCTGTGGACAGGTGTCTTTTATACAGGTAACAAAATGAGATTAGCAGCACGCCTTTTAAGAGACTGCTTCTAATCTCAGCTTGTTACCTGTATGAAAGACACCTGGTAGCCAGAAATCCAGCTGAATGATAGGGGATCAAATACTTATTTCCCCCATGAACATGCAAATCAGTGCATCATTTGTTAGACGTGCATTTCGTTAGAATTTTTTGTTGCTATTCTGTCTCTCAGTGTTACAATACACGTACCATTCGATTTTTAGACTGATTATTTCTTTGTGCGTGGGCAAACATTCTAAATCAGCAGGGGATCAAATACTTATTTCCTGCACTGTGTGTGTATATTTATATACAGTATATATTCTTCAGAAACTCCCAGGTGTGCAAAAATTGTCCGGGGCATAACAGCTTTGTAACAGTGAGAATATGCCCTCATTAATACCCTCTCCTCCAGTCCTCGCTGGCTCTTCTCTACTTTTAACTGTCTGCCCCCCACCTCCACCTAGTACCTCACTCACCGCCCACGAGATTGCTAACGATTTCAAAAACAAGATCGACACAATTTGTAGGGACATCACCGCTGCTCAGACTTCCACCCCACCTAGCATTCCTCACACTAAAACCCCCTGAACACTCCACTCCTTCGACCTCGCCACTGCCCAGACTTCCACACCACCCAGCATTCCTCACACTAAAACCCTCCCAACACTCCACTCCTTCGACCTCGTTACTACTGAAGAGGTCACTAAGGTCTTCTCAGAAGCCCGCCTCACCACCTGCCCCCTTGACCCTGTTCCCTCACAACTCCTACGATCACCCTCTTCCTCCATCCTACGCTCCCTCACTCACATCTTTAATCTTTTCCTCTCTACTGGCACCTCCCCATCCCCACTAAAGCACACGCACATCACTCCCATGCTTAAAAAACCCTCCCTGGATCCCACCGATCTGAACAACCTAAGGCCCATCTCCCTGCTGCCATTTACATCCAAACTCCTAGAGCGATTAGTCTATAATCGCCTGAGTTCCCACCTCACGGACAACAACCTCCTTGACCCCCTACAGTCTGGCGTCCGTCCCCTACACTCCACCGAAACTGCTCTACTCAAACTCACCAACGACCTGCTAACCGCCAAAGCTAATGGCCACTATTCAGTGCTCCTACTCCTCGACCTCTCTGCGGCTTTCGACACGGTCGACCACCCCCTCCTCCTCAAAAAACTACACTCTCTTGGCTTCAGAGACTCCGCTCTCTCCTGGCTCTCTTCCTATCTATCACAGCACTCCTTCAGTGTTACCTATAATGCTGCCACCTCCTCTTCACTCCCCCTCTCGGTTGGGGTTCCTCAAGGTTCTGTCCTCAGACCCCTCCTCTTCTCCATCTACACCTTCTCCCTTGGCCAATTGATAAACTCTCACGGTTTCAACTACCATCTCTATGGAGATGACACACAAATCTATCTCTCTACCCCTCACCTCAACCCTTCAGTCTCCGCCCGTATCACAAGCCTACTGAGCGACATATCAGATTAGATGTGACTCCACTTCCTCAAACTAAATCTCTCCAAAACTGAGCTCCTAGTTTTCCCCCCAGCCCCCCCCCCCCCAACTTCTCCATCAAGATCAACAACACTACCATCAGTCCCACCCCTCAAGCCAGAGTTCTAGGTGTCATCCTAGACTCCAATCTGTCCTTCCAGCCCCAGGTCCAATTACCGACAAACTCATGTAGACTTCACCTCCGCAACATCTCCAAAATACGACTGTTTCTAACCCCGGAAACCACTAAGCAACTCATTCACTCCCTTATTATATCACGACTTGACTACTGTAACTCCCTCCTCATCGGCTTACCTCACCGCAGGCTATCCCTGCTTCAGTCCATCTTGAATACTGCGGCCAGACTCATCCCCCTTACTAACTGCTCCGTATCTGCCACCCCCCTCTGCCAATCCCTCCACTGGCTTACGATTGCCCAACGGATAAAATTAAAAACGCTAACACTGACGTACAAAGCTGTTCATAATACTGCCCCAAACTACATCACCGATCTTGTCTCCAAATACCACCCAAAACGTACTCTCCGCTCCTCACAAGACCTCCTACTCTCAAGCTCCCTGGTCTCCTCCTCCCATGCCCGTCTCCAGGACTTCCCCCATCCTCTGGAACTCCCTACCCCAATCCATAAGACTATCACCTACTGTGCTCACCTTTAAGCACACTCTGAAAACCCATCTATTCAAGGAAACCTACCCCGCCCTTGGCTAATTACTGAACTCCTCCACTCTTCCTACCACTCCATCCCCCACAGCTGTAAGCTCCAAGGAGTAGGGCCCTCGAACCCCTCATGTATTGAATCGTATTGTTACTGTACTGTCTTGTGTATTGACTCCCACCTTAATATAAAGCGCTGAGCAAACTGTCGGCGCTACATAAATCCTGTATAATAATAATGCCCAAATGTGGAGACACAGGGCAGAGACTAAACTTTTTTGCTAAAATTTTGTGCTTTACCCTCAACTACAGGAGTTCAGGAGCATGGTGTTCAGCAGAGGAGGAAGAGGGAGCACCAGGCAAACCGCTCTGTGCATGGGAGGAGGAAAATGATGTAGGCTTTTTGAGTCAGTCAATAACTTTCTCTGCATGCTATGGCTAAACTGGTCAGCAACTGTGGCTAAGGAAAGGCAGACATGCTTTCCCTTGGCTGTGTGCGGTCCTACCATCGCTTTGCTGTGCAGGACCTGCTTGTGGAGGTATTCACCCTCTACAACTTCCATGTGCAGTATCATTGCCTCTGCTTGTAGTCCTGCCTGCCTGCCTGCCTTTGGGTTTTATCAGCTCTATACCTAACTATAGTAGGTGTGAAGTGCTTTTGAGGCACACTGTTTTTGCACTTAGTTTGCACTTAGTTTTCGTTTCAATTTATTTGGCGGTGTGCTTGGAAGGCAACTGCAAGAATAAAGGGTCAGCAAATGATTGGTGCACTTTGAGCACCTCATAATTAACATCCCTATCATCACAAATACAAACCAAGATAGTATCAAAAATAAAAACTTTAAAATACTATGTCCCAAAACAAAAGCCCACTATTTTCCTTGAAGAAAAGCAAAATGGCTTTGTTATTTACAGGTATGTTGCCCCCAAACTAAAGGAAAAATGCCTCCCGTAAGAGCAACACAAAAAGGTAGCAAAGGCGGTGCTTGGATGTGAGCTAGCAATGAAACATGTTGCAGGCTATAATAAATGACCAAAAATTTGATGATAATTACCACAACCCTTTCTGGCACTAAGTCATATTGTTTGATGGGCTGCCTGGCTTTACTTTCTAGATCTTCAATGTTGACCTTGGCCGACATTATCTTCCACGTGTCCAGATTAGCACAAATCTGAAGAATATAAAAGTAACAGATACATTAAGAAACATAACAAGCCTCAGTGTAATATTGTGACAGTCCTGGTTTCTAAACTTTAACAGACTGAGCTTTGGGAACAGCAAGTGGTTTAGCACAAATATAAATAGGACAGAACAAAACGTGTAGCTAAACCCATGAACAAAAATGTCAATTACTGAAGTTTACCAGTGATTACATGTGGTGGCTGCGTAAGTTTGTTTTTTTTGTTTAACTTTTTTCCCTTTATGTTAACCTCGCTCACTGTTATGTATCAATAGATAAAGCATAGAACAGGACAACAATAACCTTCCCCTCTTCTCTTTCCTATAACAGAGGGGGAAAAGGTTTCTGTAGCCCTCAGGATACCTGGGAACAATGTAACTGATAACAGAACAGCACAGGCAGGGAGTTCAGACAGTAATCAGCTGAACAGATCTCTGGAAGTATTAGCAGGTATTATTTGCACTTATAATATTAAGCAGATATAACAAAACACTTTCAATGGTATATTTATTGGACCAAAAGGGCCAAATCTGAGTAGGTATTTTAAGGGTTTACATAATAAATTACTCATTTTTGTATATAAAACTACTGACTATTATACTGATTTTTTTTTCTGCGCCTCACCTGTAAAATGTGATCCACAGCATCATTAAAGCTGCTAGCTCCACCAGTCCCTGGGGATGCAGTAAGTCCCAGGATTTGTGGAAGTTTCCTTTCATTTTCGAGCTTTTTCTGAAGATAGATCTGCATCACCTTATTATAAGTGGCATCCTTTTGAGTGTGGTGGCACTCATCTATTATTAACAGAGTGAAATCTGAGGAAACAGTAACAATCATTAGCTTCCCTTCACTATGAAGCACCAAATCATACAGGTGATACTGTATCATATGCTGCCCATTAAAAAGAAGAATAAAAAGTACATCAATAGTGTATCTCCTTATAATGTATATGTAGGAAAACATTTATTTTCTGATTAGCAGTTTGTTGGCATTATGGCATTTACAGTATATGGACATGTGATATGGTTTTCACAATTAACATGTTTGGATATGTAGCCCAAACAATAAGAGTAACACTGCTCAGATGCCCCCCAAACCTGGATCATTTGAATCGGCATGTAAGTAAACTTGTGCAGGAAGGCCAAAATGGGATTGTCAAACTCCAGTAGACTTCAACAAAATTTCGACTGTCCGCCCACAGATGCCAGCTCATTGTTGCATAAATATAAGAAGGACAGATAAAAGATGACTTCAGCTCATACTTTCCAACTGTAGAGAACACCTCTGCATTTCGCCTAGTGGTGCACAGAAATTAGAATTCTGGTACTGAAACCGAAAATTCAAAATGCACTTGGCCGAAAACCGAAATGCGCAGTTTTTAAAAATGAATATATATTTTTTGGAATAAGATACACTTTGATTTAAAAAAACAATATATACCCCAATTTGTTTGTAAAATATGAAAGAGGATGTATGAAAGAGGTGTAAGGTTAAGTCTACAGGCTTGGAAAAATCTGTATGTAAATGGATAGAAAACTGGCTAAAAAGATCGTATTCAAAGAGTAGTGGTTAATGATTCATACTCTGAATGGTCTAGGGTTGTCAGTGGTGTACCCCAAGGTTCAGTGTTACTTTTTAATATATTTATAAATGATATAGGGTCTGAGATTAAAAATCCCATTTCAGTCTTTGCAGATGACACCAAGCTGTGCAGTGGAATAACGTCCTTACAGGATGTCTTCAACTTACAAGCCAACCTCAATGCACTGTTTAATTGGGCAACTATGTGGTAAATGAGGTTTAATATTGATAAATGTAAGGTTATGCACTTGGGGGCTAAGAATATGCATGCATCATACATACTAGGGGGGGGTACAACTGGGAGAATCAATGGTGGAGAAGGATCTGGGAGTTCTGGTAGATCACAAGCTTAATAATGGCATGTAATGCCAAGCTGTGGTTTCTAAAGCGAGCAAAATCCTCTCTTGTATTAACTGAGGTATAGACTCCAGAGAGAGAGATATCATATTACCCCGGTACAAATCATTAGTAATACCTCATCTGGAATATGCAGTTCAGTTTTGGGCACCAATTCACAAAAAGAACATTGGAGAACTAGAGAAAGTACAGAGAAGGGCAACCAAACTGATACGAGGGATGGAGGAGATCAGCTATGAGGAAAGGTTAGAGGAACTGAATTTATTCTCTCTTGAGAAGAGGAGATTAAGGGGGGATATGATCAACATGTATAAATACATCAGTGGTTCATATAGTGAACTCGGTGTAGAGCTATTCACCCTGAGGTCATCACAGAGGACAAGGGGGCACTCTTTACGTCTTGAGAAAAAGAAATGTAATCTCCAAACACGGAAATGTTTCTTGATACAAAAGAAAGCAAAAAGAGGGCGCATGGCCTAGTGCATTATCATAAAGAATATTTATTAAAAGGATAAAAAGTAGGTATCATACTCACAATGGACATATAAACAAAGGCACATCACAATACACAGCAGTGTCCATATAGCATATAAGTCCAAAACAATGGAACCATGGATTTCCAACTGGCTAACGCGTTTCAAGGACTTAGCCTCTTCCGCAGAGCCAACATACTGAGAAGTCTTCACCTCTCTTATATATGCTAACTAATGCAGGTAATGAACATATATGTGGGCTGTCCCCAGTGAACCTAGGGGCGGGGACTGATATCACATGACTTGATATCACTTATCATAATACATAGAATGCAACATAGATGTAAGCATCATTTGAGCAATGGTAAATCCAATAAATGTTAGATTAGCTGCAAAACATATATAAAGAAAACATACCTAATAGGCATAAAAAAGGGTGTGGGGAAAATGTTAAGTGACAAGAAGCACGTGTGCACATATATACACATTGGAGCAATTTCATGTAAAAAAAAAAAAAAAAAAAAAAAGGGGGGGGGGGGGGGGGAATCAGTGATGAAATTAATATATAGCTGAAAACTTACATAACTGTACGTATGTTTCGAGATCAGTGAGGGATCACATCTCAGGGTGGATAAAAACTGTAAGGAAGAATCGTATTGTGGGATGCATGGAAAACACTGGCAGCCAATGGGCTCGCACCGTGGGGTTGGAGTACAGTTATTTATATTCTCTATTATTTACAGTAACAACAGATATATAAATCAGGTTAGATTCTGCTGTACCAGGTACAGTAATACAGTATGACACAGACTGCATTGTATATATAAAGTATTTGATTTTGCGCATGTCTTTTCTTTAAAGTGGTTGTAAACCTCAGACATGAAATATGAAAAAAAGCGTATCCCTAGTGTGTACCTGTCTCAATCCAGAGTACTAAGTGTCAATTCTCTCTGCTCTCCTGTTCCTCTGCTATTAGCATGAATCACTTCAAACAAGTTTTCCTGACATCAAGAGAAAAATGGTGACAAGGTAGGAGCATCCAGCAGACTGACAGCCTCAGCTCTTTTCCTGAGTGCTGTGTGAAGGGGGCGTGTCCCTTCACTCCAATCAGCTCTGAGAGCTCTCCTCACTGATGATGTAACTTCAGCTCCCCGCCCCCTGCTTTTCAGAGCTGAGAGATCCTGTATAAATTCTGCACTTTGAATGGACGTAGGGAAAAGATGGCTGTAGATCAGGGGTCCTCAAACTTTTTAAACAGGGGGCCAGTTCACTGTCCCTCAGACTGTTGGAGGGCTGGACTATAGTTTAAAAAAACAAACTATGAACAAATGCGGACACAGTACAGGAGATGACCAGAGACTGCGGACATACAACAGCGGCGGGAATACTGGGCCGGCCACTCCATAAGACGCACAGACATTTCCCCCCAAGTGTGTCTTATGGAGCGAAATAGTGCCCCATCATTGGTGTCAGTGGGAGGAATAGTGCCCCATCATTGGTGTCAGTGGGAAGAATCGTGCCCCATCATTAGTGTCAGTGGGAGGAATAGTGCCCCATCATTGGTGTCAGTGGGAGGAATAGTGCCCCATCATTGGTGTCAGTGGGAGGAATAGTGCCCCGTCATTGGTGTCAGTGGGAGGAATAGTGCCCCATCATTGGTGTCAGTGGGAAGAAACGTGCCCCATCATTAGTGTCAGTGGGAGGAATAGTGCCCCATCACTGGTGTCAGTGGGAAGAAACGTGCCCCATCATTGGTGTCAGTGGGAGGAATAGTGCCCCATCATTGGTGTCAGTGGGAGGAATCGTGCCTCATCATTGGTGTCAGTGGGAGGAATAGTACCCCATCATTGGTGTCAGTTCGAGGAATAGTGCCCCATCATTAGTGTCAGTGGGGGGAGGAATAGTGCCCCATTATTGGTGTCAGTGGGGGGAGGAATAGTGCCCCATCGTTGGTGTCAGTGGGGGGGATAGTGCCCCGTCATTGGTGTCAGTGGCGGAAGGGGATAGTGTCCCAACATTGGTGTCAGTGGGAGGAATACTGTCCCATCATTGGTGTCAGTGGGAAGAATAGTGCCCCATCATTGGTGTCAGTGGGAAGAATAGTGTCCCATCTTTGGTGTCAGTGGGAGGAATAGTACGTCATTGGTGTCAGTAGGGGGGAATAGTGCTCCGTCACTGGTGTCAGTGGGAGGAATAGTACGTCATTGGTGTCAGTGGGGGGGAATAGTGCCCCATCATTGGTGTCAGTGGGAGGAATAGTGTCCCATCATTGTGTCAGTGGAGGGGAATAGTGCCCTGTCATTAGTGTCAGTGGGGGGGATAGTGTCCCAAACATTGGTGTCAGTGGGAGGAATAGTGTTCCATCGTTGGTGTCAGTGGGGGGGATAGTGTCCCATCATTGGTGTCAGTGGGGGGGGGGATAGTGTTCCATCGTTGGTGTCAGTGGGAGAAGGAATAGTGTTCCATCGTTGGTGTCAGTGGGGGGTGGAATAGTGCCCCATCATTGGAGTCAGTGGGGGGTGGAATAGTGCCCCATCATTGGTGTCAGTGGGAGGAAAAATGCCCCATCATTAGTATCAGTGACACCAATGATGGGGCACTGTTCCTCCCACTGACACCAATGACACGTAACTTGCTGACCCCTGCTCCAGCATGGTGCTGCTGCAGCCAGCATACCTGGTTGCAGCAGCACCATCCGCACGGCACACTTACCTGTCAGCTGTCCTTCTTCACTCCGGCCTCTCTCTCACTCGATGTTCGCGGGGCCGCTCAGCTCCGCCTCCTCGCAGGTGATTGGCCGCCTGTGTGCCTTTCCTGAGCTACAGTTCTGGCGCCCAATCACCAGTGAGGAGGCGGAGCTGAGCGGCAGGAGCGAGGGAGTGGCCGGAGTGAATGAAGGAGCAGCGCTTCCTGGACTGGATCGTCGTGGGACTGGAACCAGAGCCAGGTAAGATACAGCAGCCCCCTGCCCACCCCTGTACTTAGTGTCCCTTCCTGTCCCGCCCCTGCCGGCGGGCCGGATAAATGGCCTCGGCGGGCCGCATGTGGCCTGCGGGCCGTAGTTTGAGGACCCCTGCTGTAGACAAACAGGTACAACTTATGTAGGAGTATTTGTTTGACCTCTGTGTATCACCTGAGGCCAATCACATCACTAGGTATATGGAAAGGTTTACAACCACTTTAAATAAATGTTATTGCCATATTGGGTGCTAGCCCCCTGGTTTATGTTCAAAGATTGTCTTACCTGTTAATTCCACATGCTTTTCTTCACTGCGATTCTGGAGAGAATTATACAGGATTTGAGCGGTACAGATGACGACATCATTTTCTTTTACCAAACGTGCAAAGAAGCCTTTCTCATCTGTATTGCCACTTATGGGAATCATTTTGTACTTGTCCTTAAGGTGCTGCTGAAACTCCTTGCTGTAATGCTGTTGTACAAGATGCACCTAGCAGATATGAGGGGAGAAATGAGAGTATTATAAAGCTCATGTACCACTTAGTATGAAAGTATAAATACTTGAATGTCCACACCATGTCCACTGATTATCCTCAAAGTGGCTTCGTTCACACCAATGCAGTTTGCAATTTGTCCATTTTGCAGTGCTTTCTGCAGTTTGTTTCTCATTTTTGTACACGCATTTTTGCTTCGTTTTTACCGTGTTTTGTGTTTCATTTTTCATCTTTTTTTTTTTTTTAAGTGAAAATTTTTTTATTGCTTGGCAGAATAAAAAAGCAAAAATGCAGCAAAAATGCAGCAAAAGGGCAGCAGAAATGCACTACATGCATTTCAGCAGCTTCTCCATTGAACTCTATTGTAGCAAAAAACTGCTACAAAAGCAGTGTTTTTGCTACAATAGACCCTTTGCAAAAACGTAGCAGCTCAAAAAAGCATAGACGTGAACATGTCCCATTGGAAACCATGCAAAAAGCACTAAAAAACACACTGGTGTGAACCAAGCCATAAACCCAAATGTAAACATTTATTACATTACAGTTTACTAATTCTCAGATGCTTTGATAATGTTTTCTTTTTTTAGGCTTTCTTCTTTTATTTTCACCTGGTAATCCTGTCAGTAAACCTGTTGTTTTTCAACAGAACAAGCTGTCCTGCAGATGTAGCAGTTAGGGGGTTGAGCCAAACCATTTACTGCAGGTGCTTAAAATGACCAACTTTTATTCATTTTTGTAAAACCTTTATCCCAAAAGAAAAATAAATGTTTGCTGTAATTGCTTAAAAAGCGTGACCTGGAGTTTGGCTTCCAATTGTTAGTGTATCTAAATCTGCTAGTACATCTAACAATCCCCTCCCCCAAGACTGATAGTGCTGCTGTCCGAAGGGGTCTCTTTTGCATCTCTATCCAGAGTGGGGACACTGTAGGACAGGAGGTGTGTCACTGGCCAGATCACCAGGTGTAAACAAAGGGGAAAAAGCCTAAAAAAGAACATTAATGCAGTCACCTCAACTAATGATTGATAAGCTGCGATATAATACATTTTTGGTTTTGTGTTTAACACAGTTTTAAATGACAGAGAAAAATGTATTTTTAAAGCAGTTTTTTATTTATTTTTTTTTTAAATAATAAACATTCTACTTACCTGCCCCTCTTCTGAGTTCCCCCTATGCCGCTCTGCAATCTTTCTCATCTCTGAGTACCCCACAGCAAGCCAGCTGTTATGAGTATATTCATGCGGGTGTGCTCCTGAGCTGTGTGCACCCATAGATACACAGTTCAGCTCGGTACTGCCACCTCCGCTCCTTCCTCTCAGGATCTGACTGACAGCAGCAGGAGCCAATAGCTCCCACTGCTGCCGAGTCTCCTGTAAGAAGAGAGAGAGGGGAGAAAAGCTTCTGCAGATTGGCACTGGGCTGCATTGAGAAAGGGCTCAGGTAAGTGTTTAAGGGAGGCTGGGGGAGCAGCTCTTAATAGGTTTTTACCTTAATGCAGAAAATGCATTAAGGTGGAAAATCTTTCACGTTTATAACGACTTTAAGTCAGAAAGAAAATATATAAAACCACTATACATTTTCCCTTTAATATCCAGGGTTTCATTTTGGACCCAGTTCAGTTCAGACATGTATGTAGTATACCATACAATACAGAATATGTAATAATCAAAGTTACCTTGTTCACAATCATGGCTACTTTGGCATTTGGTACCATTTGCAGGTGCCTCATTGCCACGTACACGGCTGCTCTAGTTTTTCCAGCTCCTGTTGGGAGCCAGATGATGACATTCTTGCCCTCCAAAGCTGGAGTAATGACTTCCCACTGGTAGCTCCGCAGCTCCATCTCTAAAATGAAGTTGCAATCAGAGAAATGTATGCAAACATCACAGACAAACAAATGATACAGCTTTTCTTTATATGGACAGTAGTGGACAATAGTGAACTCTTTGACCTTCATCTCACTGCTGATTGAAAACAACAGACTCTCTGCAGCAATGACTGATAGCCAGAAACCATGTGATCTAAGCTGCCTAGGCAGGGAGCTGAGGAGCAACAGATTTTTTTGAATTCTTCGCAAGAAAGAGATACTTGTGCTTAAAAATATAATGTGATTTGACCTTGCTGGTGTAATTTACTAATTTATGTGAAGTATAGATTTTAAGACCAATTTAATCTTCATGTTTTGACAATCACTATATTTGCACATTTACTAATTACAAATGAAAATGATTCTATATTTTTCCAGCTGCTCCTAAGGGCTGGTACGCTGCAGTATTTAAGGGGTATATTAAAAAGGAAAGCTCTTTTGGCCCTACATCTTCTTTTGGGTCACAGGTGTGGACTTTGTTTTGCACTCCTGTGGCCCATTTTCAGCCAACAGCAGGCTTTAGCCATCACTGAGTCGATCCAGGCTCTGGAGAGATCCCAACTTTAAAGTTGGATTTCACCCAAATGCCTGGACAATTCAGTGTGCCGCTGAGAGTCTGAGCCAGCCGCTCCTACCCCGCTACAACCCGACACTGGAGGGGCATGGCAGAGAGTCACTGGCTCTCTTCTCACTGAAGACAGAGAACTGAGCGTTTACTTGTGTTTGATTGCTCAGTTCTCAGTCTTAAAAGTAGTGGGGGACAGATGCAACATCAGATCAATATTGAATCCACCTAGGTAAGTATGATTTTTTTTTCTGAATCCTAAACCTTTCTTTTAATCAAAGTTTTCAACCAAGATTAAAAAATTTTCACTAAGATTCACCTATTTTTATAATTGAACCTAAAGTGAAAAATGGGTGAATCTTGGGTAGAGATTGTTTCAATCTTGGGTGAAAACATTGATAAATACACCCCCTAATTTTGTTTTTGGGTTTAGATATCCTTTAATCATGTAAGGACTGCCTACTGTCTCTGCGGGTGGGCAGCCCTGCTGCACTGGATCATGTACATGTATGTGATCCAGCATTTCCAGGTATAGGGTTTGCGCACCCCCTGCGATCTGTGCTGTGATTTGGTACAATGATTTATGGCCAGGACCTTCTGATTGGCTTAGCGCATCACAGTACAGAACCCCATGTTTAATAACAATACAGGGCTCTGTGCACAGACCAGCGATGCGCCTGTTCTTTCTCCTTACAAACAGCCACATCTATTAGTAAAAGCAGCACATATCACACACATTACACACATTTAACACCTTGATTTCCTCTAGATGTTAACTCCTTCCAAGCCAGTGCCAGATTGCCCACCACACTATCCCACTATAAGTCGCTTTTTATCATACATTTTATTTGTGTATTGTGTTCCATACCCACGCAATTGCCAGTTAAAATTAGCATAGTGTTGAATAGCAAAAAATGGACTAGTCATGAAGGGGGTAAAACCTTCCAAAAGTCAAAAGCTTAATAGACAGTGTAGGGAAATTCTGCATAACAGGGCTTGTCTCCCAATACAAGCTCTTTCCTTTGAGCTGTGAGAAGACATTGAAGCACAGGAAGGAGAGTATCAGCTCCAGCTGCAGTATTACTATCAAGTAAGATTGTTTCTTTAAATATTGACTACATTTGGCAACTGGGACCTGAATGCTGGTCATACACATTACAATACAACTGCACATCCGCTTTCTGTTAAATGATAACTAAGTAGTACAAAGAAGGGTCTACCTGTGTGTCTTCCAAATAAAATTCAAACTCCACAGCAAAGTTTTCAATTTTTTGGGTAAAATGAGAAATTCCAATACCACCGTAATATCCTCCTATAAAAGGTATAAATAACATCATTAGTATCAAACGTCAGAATACAGACTACACAGAGACTTGCACAAAGTGCAGCGCGCTTCGCATATGAGCAGTAGGAAACTGGCTGTGCAGCTGCAATGCTTCACTTCCGGTTTCCCTTACAAAAGACTCCGGCTCCTGCACCTGCAGATGATTGAAGGATCAGCTCGGGTGAGGACATTGCTGGATCCCTGGACTGGTAAGTGTCCTTCTATTAAAATTCTGCAGCTACAGTATTTGTAGTTGCTGACTTTTAATTTTTTGGGGGAGCTTGCAGCTCTGCTTTAAGCCCCTTAAGCTGAACCCTGGTTTTTAGGTCTAGTTTATGTCTAGGGGACTTGGAAAAGTAGGTTTACTTACCCAATCCTCCACTCCTGCAGGTCACTACACATTTCTAGAACCAGTTGCCACAGCCTCTTACCTGTCGTCTGGCACCAACAACCATGCCACATTCAAAGTCACTTAAATCCCCTTTCTTCCCCATTCTGATGCTCGGTTTGAACTTCAGCAAGTCGTCCTCATCATGTCTAGATGCCTAATTGCATTGAGTTGCTGCCATGTGATTGGCTGATTAACAATTTGTGTTTCCAAGCAACTTAACAGGTGTAACCTATAAAGTGGCAGGTGAGTTTAATGGTGTCCTTCTAATCAATGTGACTCAGCACAGTGAAATTTTGGAAGAGGTTCCTGGTGGACTTCTGTGTGATTTCAGCCCCATTGACTTCAGTGTTATCTCACAGAAGTCACATCAGCATAGATAAGAAACATTCTTATATGACTTTGATGAATTCAGTGTTTCTTTTTTTTTTTAACCCTCACCTCTCCTCCCTGGTCATCCTTCATCCATTGATTTTGAAACCGCTGCAATTTTGGAGTCTTCCTTGGATCCTTCCTTTGATCATATGATTTGACCCTTACTTTGATTCATTGATCAACCCCCTTCCTTCGATTGATTGATCGATAGATCCTTCCTTCGATCAACCCTTCCTTTGATCAATCAATCCTTCCTTCAATTAATCGACCCTTCCTTCAATCTACCCTTTCGTCGATCAATTGATCCTTCCTTTGATCAATCGACCCTTCCTTTAATCGATCGATACATCCTTTGATCAACCTTTCCTTCAGTCAAATGATCCTTCCTTCGATTGATCGATTGACCCTTCCTTTGATTGACTGATCAGTCCTTCGTTCGATTGATTGACCCTTCAATTTCCCCTTTGATCGATTGATCTTTCCTTTAATAAATCGATCCATCCTTTGATCAATCGATCAACCTTTCCATCAATCAATTAATCTTTACTTCGGTTGATCGATTGACCCTTTCTTAGAACGATCCTTCCTTTGATCATTCCTTCTTTTGACCGATCAATCCCTCCTTCAACTGATCAATTCTTCCTTTGGTCGAAGGAGCAATTGAAGGAAGGATTGATGCATCAAAGGAAGGCTCAATCAATTGAGGGAAGGATTGAAGGATCAAAAAAACTTCAGAGTGAACCTAGACAGCATAGATGACCAGGGTGGAGAGGTGAGCGTTAAAAAAACAAAACAAAGCAAAAAAAAACACTGATCCATCAAAGCTGAATAGGAATGCTTCTTATCTAGCCTGATGTGGCTTCCAAAGTTGCACTGAAAAATGGCAAGCAAATCGCACAGCGTATCAGAAAGTGATATGGGGAGAATGCAATGCTGCAAACACTGCAAAAACATGTAAAAAATGCATCGAACACGCATTGTGAGTTGTGTTAAATTTAATGCTCTCTAGCTCCCTCGTCATCTCCTCCCACGCTCGCCTCCAGGACTTCTTCAGAGCCTCTCCCATCCTCTGGAACTCCCAACCGCAGTATGTCCGGTCAGCCCCCACCCTGTCTGCCTTTAGGCGATCTTTGAAAACTCACTTATTCAGGGAAGCCTACCCCACCTCCACCTAAGAACTGTACTTGAGCCACCTCCATCAGAACATCACCTACAGCTATCACCTTTTGTACCACCTCCCCCTTCCTTTAGATTGTAAGCTCCACGAGCCGGGCCCTCCTATTCCTTCTGTACTGAAATGCATTGTAATTGTACTGTCCCCCTTATATTGTAAAGTGCTGAGCAAACTGTTGGCACTATATAAATCCTCCATAATAATAAGTAATAATGCAACGGGGCAAAAAAATGCCTATGCATTTTCGATGCATTTTTTATAAAGAGTAGTGTGAAAGTAGTCTTAGAAATTCATGCATTTGGAAAAAATTCCCATCCTGCTCCTTCGATGCGGTTGAACATAAACATTGATTTGACCCCACTAATGATTAGAAAAATGAATGACTGTTGAATGAAATTCTGCTAGTGTATACCCAGCTTTACTGGCCACAGATATCGGTGAAGTCAGGCCTGCGTACCTGCATACAAAGCAGTGAAATAAAAGGGTAAGCCAGCGTTTGCAGAATGTCTCTCCAGGAATGGTTTACATAGCAGGAATAGTAGTTGTCAGAGGAAATCACAACGTACTTTGGTCATGAAATTATGAAACGTAACAGGGTCAGCATAGAGGGGTCTGTGCTGCAACTCACCTGACCTCAGAGCAGTGTTCTTCCGGTTGGTTCCTTCCTCAGTCCCTGTCACACCGCCTAGTCCCCAGTCAGACTGGATCTCTCACAGCTGCTGTCAGGCTTTTTAAAGCAGACTGGTTTCCTTTTTATCTAAATGGAAAGTGCAACAAAGGTGTCCTTCAGGGGATTTGTGAAGGCCAGCAGACATGCCTCAAATAAATGCCTCGTCTCTTCTATGACACCAAGGAAATTTCCCAGGATCACCCCTTTCTAGTCACAAGCCAAAAACGAAACTGAAACTCCTCAACCATCACAATATGGATGATTATTACGTAGGAGGTGATTTTCCAGATATGATTAAAGCTGAACTCCACGTTTGTTAGGGCCACCAAAGAAAAAAACTAGAAAAGTGGCCCCATGGCGTTATCACCCTCATCACCCATTTGTATTTAAACAATACTATTCTGACTCCATGACTCTGATCATTAACCCCTTTGTGCTGGCGCCTCCTGGCCCTTTAAGGGTTTCAGAAGCCGGGAGGCG